CTCTAATAGCTCTGACCCCAGGGCAACTTTATTTATTAACATAAAATTAAAATAACATTTCAGTACAAATAAAATATCACCACATGAGGGCTACACTTATTAGTGGTAATAAGGACCCATAGAAGATGTCATTAGAGATTACACTGGTTTAATAAAGTGGTGTTTGTAGGTTCTCCTCCAGGAGCCATGACTTCACTAGCCCTAGGCAGGTGACTTGGTTTCCAATATCAGGCATGGTCTCCCTGTTGTTGAGTGAGTACTTAGTCCAATTAGAGAGCTGTGATTACTGGCAAGGTATGTGTGCCACTACTATACCCTTATTATTATTCTACCATACTGGCCATTGTTGTGATTTGTTAGTTATTTCCCTCCTTTGGAAGCTTGCATGGCACATTCTGGTACCTTGAAAGCAGCCCCCAAGGAGGAAACATTTAGATCAGATTCAGCTTAGGTCCTCTAGGTCCCAGGTCCAAAGTGCATGATGTCTTCAGTAACAGAGATTTACTTTCCACTTGCAGGAGGCAGCTAAGGGTAACAGAAATAGCCTATAGTGGTTGGGATTCTCTTGGACAATCCTGACCAACAACTCGGAAGAAGGCTTCTCATGCCTGCCATGTTGGGTTTTTTGGTTAGATAATCTTTGGCTATTGGTGGGAGCTCTGTTAGCCCAGATGGAAAAAAAATCATTTAAACAATATATTTACATATAAACTTACATGTATTATAGGGGTTTTGAGAGTTATACCATGTAGTCAATCCAGGGTGGCCTTCACCTTGTGGTGATCCTTCTGCCTTAGCATTACAAATACTGGGGTTTTAGGTGTATACGACTATGCTCTTCTTTTTTGTGTCATTTGAAATATACTCCTTTCCAATCAGGCATGAGTACAGGAGGAAAGTGCCTAGGATTTATTGCTGTTTTCATGTATGCCCTCTTTCACTCAAATGGATGAGTCTAGCCTCTCATGGGGACACACAGTTGAGCAGCTGAGTAGTTAAAATAGAATAAGGAACTCCCATGGAATAAGGGCTTGAAATGACTCATACTTATTTCCATGTACTTGTGGCCCTCTTAAGGGGGTTGGTTTAAAGCCCTCTGCAAATGCCACTGAATCTGCCAGTTTACCCATTCAAAGCCCATCGGCTAACATGCACAAGCTGTTCTCATCTGCCCAGCCCAGAGAATGAGAGCTAGAGGAGGTTTGTTTTGTAGGAGGCTTTCTCTTCACAAATCAGAACTCCCATCGTATACATTCCTGTTTCCCTCGATAACTGGCCAGGGGGAGCATTGAGATGATCTATTACAAAAGGCCACTATTGTCTTCACAATGTCTGGGTGATGGTGCCCCAGATCAGAATTGTAAAATAGTTTGGACAATCTTGTAGCATAAACCATGGTTCAGAAAAACCAAAGATTTAATCTTATTTATAGAAAGATGGTTGGTGGGGAGGGTTTGGCATGGGGAGAGCAGCTTAGGACCATCATGAATCATTTTTAAAGTACCAGGCTAGTGAAGACATCTTCTGGAATTCACTCTGACTGACACTGAATTCTTCTACTAAGCAAATACGTGATGAGTTGATAAAAAAAGAAAGAGATGAAGGTCTTGAACACTGACGACAGATAGAATACAGAAAATCAAAAGCGTGCTTTCTATCTGACTCAAAATAAAGGTACCCTTAAACTTGTAAAAGACAACATTTTTATTTGAATGATATGACAGAGCTGTCACAGGAGTGCTACCTGCTATAAAGAAAGCCCAAGAATTATCACCTTTATTAGAGCAGTGGCACCAGGCTTCAGCCATACATTTCTAACTTCTGTCCCTCTGCAGAGACAATTTTCTTTTCTTAAATAAACTGTCATGCTCCTGTTAATATATTGTTGACTCTCTCAAGCTCTGAGAATACTGCTGATATAAAACATGTATATGTTAGATTGGTAATAGTATCTTTAGTGTAACTGACGAGAACAAATGTGTTTCCCTCATGGCTGTGCTAATGTGATAAAGGAAAATTGGCTGTTCATCAGTTTTTGGGCTGGGTAAAGACAGTAGAGATGGAACCACGTTCTTTTTTATGCATTAATACCACCGGGAACTTTTCGCTAGTTATATTTCATGTAGCCTGCATGTTGTGCAAAGATGCTGTAAAACATGAGATAATGCTACAAATAACAAACTGGAAGAGCCTGTATCTTTCATAATGATAACAGTCAAACACCAAATAATAGTAGCAGGCAGAGAAAAATGGGATGCAAGGAAAATAAAAAAAAGGTACGTTCCTACTATTCAGTAGAGAGAAATAGACGCGGGCTCATGAGGAACCTGTGTATGACTTTAGGGCAATTTCAGCTTTGTTTAAAATGAAGTCTCATACAATCCCAGGTCAGGCTATTTCTGAAAGAACACATTAAAATTAAAAGAAGTTGGTTAGAAGGAAGAACAGCAATGTTGCCTAACATTTTTTTAAAGGAAATCCACATTACCAAGCAGTTGTGGCATTGACCCCTAGATTCTTGAGTTTGGTTCTTGAGTGGGGGACCCTGGAAAAATATTCCTATGGCAAGCATTCACATAATAATGTAAAGTTTTTACCTTCCTTCATTGTTGCAAATCCCTTTTAACAGAGATGTTGTTGAAATAGTTTAGGAGGAAAAAGTGGTTGGGGAGGGGAAGTTACAGGGGAGGGAATGAGGTGGCCTTGAACAAAATACATTATATTCATGTATGAAATTCTTTAAGACTAATAAATATATAAAAATGTGCATCTACACAATGACTTACAACTAGTTTCAGACCCATGCCAGGCTAACAGCAATGTGAACCTGGTAAAGACATTGTCCGTATGCTCTGACCTCACATGTACACTGTGCATTGCTTCTTAACAGTTGAAGTCCTACACCAGACCAGTGCATCTATCTGTTTTATCAAGGACTCTACAGTGATCCTAACTCTAACTTTATTGTCTTTTAATTTCCACACTAGAACAACATTCCCAAGATTGCACTTCATTAGAGTGTTTTCATCAGCCTCTTAATTGCACAATAGTTAGTGTCCATCTTCTTCCTCCCTCTTTCAGCCCATCCTTTCTCTCAGTCCATCCCTTCTCTTAGTCCTTTCTCTTTCCACATGAGTTGGTTTAATAGTTTGAATCCCTTTTACAGTCAGAAACACTTTAACAGAAAGACTATTTGTTGGTGGCTAAACAGTTATTTGTTTATTCTGAATTAGTGTGTAATCATCAAAGATTGTGTGTATCCACAACCTATGAGGTATTAGCTACAAAATGATGACTGATTGTGATTAAGGTATCATATCATACAATACATCTATTTTTTATACTATATCCCAGAAATCATCAAAATTGTAAGCAGTGGGTCATATCTGGCTCATCACCCAGCTTTGTGATTAATATTAAACTGTCACCAATCAGGCTTATTTGTTTTTGCTACGGTCAATGACTACTACTTTGCTATATTAGAGCTGATGACATGTAAAGGACTATTTGGCCACCACACCAAATTCTCTAAGCTGCAATTCTCTATTCTCCAGGTGTGTATTGGAAAAGTTGGCTCTCCTCTGATATAGGCAACTGTTAGATTGTTTGGCTGATCAACATAGAATATGATTGGCAAAGTTTTATCTTATTTTATAATGGGAATATGTATTTTAAGATTATCAACTGTCTCTAGTTCCTAAAGAAATGAGTATTTATGGCAAGTTACTAGTAACTTGGGTAATACTCACATGTACATCGTAAGTATATCTGGGTATATCTGGGTTTGAATATCTTTCCCCTTATGTATTAATTTGTTTTCAAGTATGACCATGATGGCATTAGTATTTAAAAACATATTCCAGGGTACCCATAAGGTACATATACTATTGTCCCATCAGTACCCTGGAATACATCATCACAACATAAACATTTCACTGTATAGATTCATATCTGGATATGTAACATGCAGAGATATTGTTTTGCTATTAAAATAAATTGCTCCCAGTATTTCCACCTGAAGGAAGTTAAGAAAGAATAAAATAACTTGGAAAAAAGACAAGAAGGCTGCTGACATGATGTTAGTACCAGTAAAAGTTTATGCACTTGATGACAGTGATAATTCTTACAGGTGCATCAGACAGAAATCAGCTTCTTCATGGATGGTTTGGAAGAGAACAATACAGCGTTTGATACAAGAACTCTGAGTGGTTCAATTACAGACTCTGCCTCCAGCACTATACAAATAGGACAGAGTTTAAATGGTAAGATTTTTGTCTTTAGAATTCTATTTAGTTTGGGCCAATTGCAGGTCCTGGTTTTAAAAAGCAAGCATGTCTTAATAATATATTTAGGTGTACTCATTTCCCAGGGTTACTGTAATAAATTTCCACCAATGCACAGTTGTTCAGGAGAATAGGAATTTAATCTTACATTATTTGATGCCAGTTGTTTGGAATCAGAGTTTCAGTGCTGTGATTCCTTCTAGAGGGGACAGCTATTCCACACCTCTGTCCTGGTTGTAGCTGGCAGATGTGCCCAGTCTCTGCTTACCACTGCATAGTTCTGTTTGCCTTTACCTGGTCTCTTCTGTTTAGTTGTCCTTTATTTCCTTATAAGTACAGTTGTCATCTGATTTAAGCTCCACCTCATTCAGGGTAAGTTACACCTCAAGATCCTTAATCCCACCCCCGAAGGCCACAGTTATGGACACCACATGAACATACATATTTAGGGGAACTTCAAAATGAAAATGTCTCTATTCTGATCTCTTTGAAAAACATGATCTGACAGTATAGCTCAGTCAGTAAGTCATTCACCTGCCACACAGTATGGGGACCTGAGCGTGGATACCCAACACCCACATTAAAAAAAAAGTCTATGCATGGTGTCCTGAGTTTGAATTCCCAACCCAGAATAATAGTTAGTATTTAAAAACATATTTCAGGGTACCAAATTTTAAGTAGAGCTTACTGGCCAGCCAGTCTGGCTGACTAAATGGGCTTCAGGATCAGTGAGAGATCCTGCCTCAAAAAATTAGGTAGAAACCTACTGAGGAAGACATCAGATGTTACCCTTTAGCATTCACACCCAAGCACATGTAGTGTAAATATACTGCCTGGCCTCATATACATGTACAATAAAAGAGCAATATACAATATTTCTTTTCTTTTTTTTTTTTGACTCACTGAATTTTGATGGGGTTGTTACTAAACGAGAGGTATAACACATTTTCTAGAAACTGAGGCGTAATACCAACATGCATTCTATCAGATCTGTGCCATTCCTGTTTCTCACATTTATTGGAACATATAGATTAAAAGATGGCTCACTATAAACTGAGAAGCATAGAAATCAAAATAAAAATTGTCTTGAAATACCCAACACTGTTGCTTTCAAAACACTTGAAATTTAAATTGGAGAATTATGTAATTCATGCTTATTATTAGAAAATCCAAATGACAAGGAATTCTGTAAACTAGGAAGTATGTTACACATTTCCATCCTCAGGGACATGATTGAACTTTTCATATGCTCCTAGATGTTTTTTTATCCGTACAGTGAGGTTTATGGTTACAAATATAATTCTTTCCCCAAAAGGAAATTCTAACACACATGCTTTCACTAAGTCCTCTGAAAATAGATCCTTCCCCTCCAAATGTTTAAGACCCATATTTTGAGTCAATATCCTTTCCCATTTCACCATACTTCTTCATTTATGGGGTCTCCGTAGCATGCCATGGCTGTAGTACACTTCTTAAACAAGTTACTGTAATAGATTTTTGTGTAATGTCTAATGTTTCCAAATCATGAGAAAGCTATTTGATGGAAAATAATACATTAGTACATATATCAACATCCAGATTTTCATCTGATATCTGTGTGTATAAAATCATATGCATACATATACTTGCATAATTATCTGATTATATAGTTCCTTGGTAATCTACACTCTGGTGCTAATCTGCCTAGAGGCAAACTGGATCTCACCATTTACTGAGCAGGTAAAGCTACTGATGCCTCAACTTTAAGATGATGATGATGATGACAACAATATCTCACAAAACCATTTTAAGGTTCAATGAGGCAATGCAATATACAGTATTAGTGTTACTGATTCTCAAGCATCCTGCATGCAGTAGATGCCCAGCACTAGTACTTAATTGTCAAATGAGCAAATGCAATTCAAAGCACCATGTATAGCATGTACTAAATTATGTTGGTAAATAAAGCTATTGTTAATGTTGTTACAATTATTTCCTAAGATAAATCCACAGAAGTTGAAGGGCTGGGTTGAAGTATAAGGCTCTTTTATATTTTAACACACAGCATAAAGGTTGCTTTAATGCTTAACAATGGAAAGTTATGAAAATTTACAACCTTACTGAAAAGGTATTGCTGCCTTAAACACCTGCATGTGTGTGTGCATGTGTGTGTGCGTGTGCGTGTTCATGTGTGCGTGTGTGTGTGTGTGTGTGTGTGTGTGTGTGTGTGTGTGTGTGTGTGTGTTCTTCACATGCCCATGGAATCTAAGTTAAAAACACTGTTAGGTGTTGATGTAGAGTGAGTCAGCCTTATGCTGACGTTGACTAGCTTTTCATACACTCTTTGATTGTTTTCATTTCATTTGTGGATTTCTTATTTATGTCATGTATCCATAATTAGATCATGGGATCCCTATTTATTAGTACAATTCATTAATATGCTTAAGAACTGTTGCTGGAGGGCTTCTCTCCAGTTTCCCCAAGCCCCGCAGTCCCCCAATCCACTTATAAAATAATCACTCAGACGCTTATATCACTTATAAACTGTATGGCCATGGCAGGCTTCTTGCTAACTGTTTTTTTTAATCTTAAATTAACCCATTTTTATAAATCTATACCTTGCCACATGACTGGTGGCTTACCAGAGTCTTTACATGCTGCTTCTCCTGGCGGTGGCTGCAGTGTCTCTCCTCCTTCTTCCTGTTTCCCCAATTCTCCTCTCTCTTTGTCCCGCCTGTACTTCCTGCCTGGTCACTGGCCATCAGTGTTTTATTTATATAGAGTGATATCCACAGCAAAGAACATTATGCTGAATGTCTTCTCTGGTTTTTATATAACCTGCTAACTTGTTTTAAGCATGGAACTATTCCTTGAATATTTTTATTTATGTGAAAATATGCATACAAGATAGAATATAAGTATTAGGGGTATAACTTGATGATGTGTTTGTTTGAAGATTTATTTTTATTATTTAAAATATGTGAGGATGGGTGGGTGGGCATGTGCACCTGAGTACAGGTGCTCACAGAGGCCAAAAGAGGGCTTCAGATCCCTAGAAGCTGGGGTTAATGGGTGATTGTGAGCAGTAGAATACAGGACTTTAACTCAGGAAGAGCCTAAGCACTCTAAACCACTGAATCATCTCTCCAGGCCCTACTTGGTGAGTTTTGATAATTGTATGCACTTGTGTAGCTCTCATGTGAAAACACAGAATATTTCCATTTTCTCAAAGACTCTCCCTAGGTAAATATCATGAGGGTTCTGTGCTCTGTATTGGTGTCTGTACAGAACCGTTGAGGAGAGACTCATGGCACCATTGACACCTGTTGTCTGTTCCTGAAGAATTATGCAGATATGTAGTGAGTGCTCTTACTTTCCTGTCATTCAGAGCTGTCTCTGTCAGATTTAGCCATAGGTATGCAGTAGCATCTCTAGTTTCAGAAAACACTTCTAAATAGCTTTCCTGAGAGAATATTACAATTAGAAACACTGAGTATTGGGACACACGCATATCCTTACCAACATCATTGTCCTGATACTGCCAAATGGCCTGAGGTGCATTTTCTGATGATTAATGACACTGAGAATTTTTCATGCACCTGTTTGCCATGTAAATATGCTTTTCTATGAAGTACATACTCAGGATGCATTTTTGGGCCAATTTTTGATCAGATACTTTGTCTTTTTCTTATTAATTTGTAGATTTATTTTTTTTACTATTTTGAATGTGAATCTTTAATGGATATATGATTGTCAGGAATTATCTTTCAAAATGTAGCTCATAGTTTCATTATCTTCAATGGTAAACTTTGACAAACAACATCACCCTATTTTAGTAAAATCTAATTTACAGATACTTCTTTCATACTAACATGTTTTATGTTTTATTAATATACCTTGACACACTTTGATGTTATGAAGAATGTACTCTCCTATATTTTATTCTGAAAACTTCATTATTCTACATCTTTCACTTGGGTCTGTGTTCTATCTAGAACACATAGATGGATGCAATGGTGTAGAGTGGCCAAGCTTCACCTTATCCCACAGCAACAATTAAGTAGAGTTCTTTTTAGCCATTTGATCATCTCTACCACTCTACAATACCACCTTCACAATAAGCAAAAATTCTGCATGCGTTAAAATGGATTGGTTTCTGAATTCTGCCATTTGTTCCCATGACCCATGTACACTTGAGTCAAAATGCTTAGTCTCAGTCATTATGGCTTGAATTTTTATGTCTTTTTGGAAAAATTTCCTGACTTTCTTTCTCTTTCATGATTGTATTGCTGTTCATTTAAACATTAACCATTGTTCTTCAGTTTTTGTTTAAACTTCACTGGAATAAAAATCATTAAGTTTGGGGCTGGAGATATGGATCATGCTTAAGAGTGCTTCCTGCTCTTCCAGAGGATATGGATTCCTTCCCAGCACCCACAATAGGTGACTCACAAACACCTGTATCTACAGCTCCAGGAGATCCTGTAGCTCCTCTGCCTTCTGCAAGCACCCACAAATGCATGACTTACATCCCCCCGCATATGTGACTTACACCCCCACATACATGTGACTTACATCCCCTCCACATGTGACTTACACCCACACACACGTAATACACCCCCCATATGTGACTTACACCCACACACACATGTGACTTACACCCACACACATGTGACTTACACCTACACACACATGTGAATTACACACAGAGAGATGTGACTTATACCCCCGCACATGTGACTTACACCTACTCTCATGTGAATTATACCCACACATGTGACTTACACCACCCACACATGACTTACACCCACACACATGCCTTATATCTACACATAAAACATAACTCAAAGTAAAGCTTTAAATCATTTGGTCAACTGTGAGAGACTGGAGCTGTAAATAACATCAAGTACTCTAACCCATGGCAGTAATACATTCTTCATCTCAGCAATGGTTTGTTTTTCTTATAGAAAACTTTTATTTATTAAGCTCATTTCTGCATG